ATTCCCAGTCCAGTGTATCAGCTTACGTTGCCGCTCTCGAATTTGGGCTCAGCACGTTTATTATCCAAGTAGCCCTTAAAGAAACATAAGGGCGGGGCATGACAAGGCTGCTAGAAAAAACATACAGCAGGTGCACGCTTAGTATGCAGAGGCCTCAGTGTCATTTGACCGTGACTCAGAAGACCATTTCTTATACAGGCCACATTCTTTTAATATCAAAGCCAGCTGTCAGGTAAGTTGATTGAAGCAAGAAACTGTGTAGCTAAGTAAGAAACTCACCCTTTGCCATATACACAAAAAGGGTTAACAGCTCTCAAGCACAGAAGTAATCCCACTAAAGTTCAAGGTAAAAATCACGGATATTAAGAGCCAGATGGTAATTTTGTCCCACTAGATCCTGCCTCATAGACAGACAGTGCTTCTGCAGGTTTTCAGGTAGCCCACTGCTGATGCTGGAGATCTCAGAGGAAGCCCAACTACACTGATACCAGAGGGGATGCACTCCGCCTTCCACACCCAAACAGCAATACTGAATGGTGTGAAGAGGCAGGGAACAATAGGACTCCTTTTTGTTTCTACTTAGAGTAATAAAAATAGAGAACTCCCTTTTATTTTAGGAAACTACATACTTTACAAACAGGAGCTACGTTCCATAAAGAAAGGCAACACATGCCCATACTGCTTTTATTTTCTTCTTTTTCTGGTACCTGTCATAGCTTTAATATTGCTTTAATATATTTGTAAATATGTGGAAAATCCTAAGGCTGTCCACAAGGCTTTCCAGCTGTATAAGTCACTGTGCAACTGTGCACTCTTTTGCATTATTCACAATCTGGCTTCATAGCTCAAAGGCACAAGCGTAGATCTTTCACCTAAGAGAACTGGATTAGTCATAACAAGGTTGAATACGGGCGGCAAATTAAAAAAAAAAAGTGGCAGCATGTACAAAAAGTGTTAAAATAAACGTAGCTATGTACTTCACTGTTTCATAAGCAGCAGTGGTATAATCTGCAATTAAGTACCACTTGTGTTATCAACCACTTGTAGGCAGGATGTCACTGTTTACATGAGCAAGGATAATTCTTCATAAAGAGTTTTGTACGCATCTTTGAAGAGAATCCCTCAGGAATCTATGAAGATAAATGCTATATTGTCAGTTAAGCAGCTAGCTGTATTACTTGAGATACCTATAATACATTAAAATGAGGAAAATAGCATTCAGATATTGAGATAAAGCACCAAAAAGCATGGGGGAAAAAAAATTCTCTCTGTAGTCTTGTGCCTGAACATTACTTGAAATACCACTCAGGAGAGCAGTCTATGGGTTCTTCCTGCCAAAGAGTCTTCAGACGCCGGGCCCAGGCAATCAGCATCTCCTTCCTTTCCTCCTCAGAGACATACTCCGGAGCGAAGCAGATGTGAGGCGCAAGGACTTTGACACCACAGAAGTGCATGATTCCATGCTGGACTCAAAGCAAAGAAAGAAATGCCTCAGGAAATAGTTAGTTTTTCACTTTCAATTCAAGAATGTGGAAGATTCGAATCTGAAACTTTCTCTGACCCAATTTAAGGCAGGTTTTCTAAACCCGCGCATTTATCAGAAGAAGGGAAATAAATTGCAACAGTTCATTACCTATCCCGGCAGTCAGTACTGAAGGCTAGGCATTAAGCAGAATGGCATACAAGACACTGAAAAATAAGGTCAACTTAATTTATTCTGCTCTGTGGAATTTATTTTTAAGTGCTATTAAACCCATAGAACTGCTCTCTTCAGCTGCCATACGCTATTAAATTTGCAAGGATCAGAGACAGCCTAAAGTTCATTGTACTGTTTGAATCTCCACATATTGTTCCTGAACTGCAGTGTATTTCTCATCTACTTCTAAGTATTTTTTTCTACCTTTTGCCTCTGCCTTTGCCAAATGATCCTGAATGAAAGCTAGTGCCTTTCAAATCAGCTCAACTTGCCATTTTCCCTCTATGTATTTCTGAATTCACAGTTGCATTTCACATTCTTTGTTATGCTGACTTGCAAACTCTGCAGCTAGATGCCTTACAAGAGCAGACAGCGAGTAATCACAATGGGTAGGAGACCAAAGAATTTAAGCATATCCATTGTATTATATCAAGAAGTAGCTGGCACAATTTGCCTTGCCACCTAAATTTCTCAAAGCACGCTTGCTATGTCTGATAAAAGGGTAGCAATAAGAAAATACATGCTAACTTCCATATGCTGATCATTAACGCCAGGATAATGTGTGACTCCGCTCCTGCCCCACATCCTACATGAATCAGGTAGGTATGGGGAAAAGAAATCCTGCATGCTAGGGCTAAAGGAAATCCTAAACTTAAAAGGCTGACAGCATAAGCTTTCTTCACATTCCAGTCTGCAGGAAGGGGCACAAAGCTATTTTAAAACTCTGTGGACTTTTATAGTATTCTTGTGGTTTTAGGGCCCAATTTATAACATGCAGATGCTTGGAACTGACAATTATTTCTTATTATAGTATATTGCATATAAAATAAACAATAATACAACTGTTAATTTAAATAATAAAAATTAAGGCAAACAAATAACAATAAAATATCCCAGTATTATACCTGCATCGGCCACAGGAGATAGCGAATATCATCATTGATACCTCCTTTTGCATACATCTCTCTGCTTGATCCAGTGGTGAAAGAAAACAGGGATAATTTGTTCTAGAATTAAGAAAGCAGCACTTGAGCTAGGCATGTGTAAAGAAGAGTGGCTGAATAGTTCAAGAGAAATTCAGGGGAACCTGGACAGTAGAAATTTCTAGAGGAGGTGGTGTCCTCCTCTTTCCCAGACCTTATGTGCAGAGGCAGCTCTAAGGCAAAGATTGACAACATGCAACTGGACAGTCGACGTCAGGGCTTTGGGCAGAGACAGGTTACAAAGAAAAGGAATTACATGTCTGACACCCTTGTATGAAGCAGGGCTGACCCTTGTTGTCCCCTGTGCAATGCTTGGAAAACTGAGGCTGGAAAACACTCTGTTACTGAGAATCTCTTTATTCCTGTCCTTCCTGAGTACAATAATTGAATGCTACAGTCCCACTTCAAACTTGGGCTTGCTTGTCACTTGCCAACGAATAAGCAACACTTCTGCTTCTGTAACTATGGTATTTGCCATAGGCTTGTGCTCAGCATCTATCCTCTCAGTTTTACCTTCCGTAATTGAAATAACATTTTTCCTGGTATGACACACTGCAATATCTAAAGTGCCTTGAGCCTGCACTCAGCATGCAGCTATGATTGTTGGGGATTACTCCTGTTCTATTCACTGAGGCAGATATTTCTGAAATTTAAACAGACTGAAATGTTTGGAATTGTTACAAAGATCAGACATTATATAGATTAATATGCAGTCAATGTAAGTGTGAAACTAGTACTGATTGTTTCTGGATGGTGCAGTTGTTACCAACTAAGATGCATCAGACAGTGGGCCAGAATTCTCCAGGGGTATTCCCAGTGTCATGGGGAATTAAAAATGTATGAATTGTCATCTAGAGATACTGATCTTGCCTAACTTACAAACTGCAGAGAATAAAAGACTGAAAGGAGATGGGTGGGACAGAGGCCCATGCACTGAGCACTTTGGGTTTCTGATTAAATTCTCTAGGTTAATTCCAACCTTTGAAATCTAATCCCAAGACAGGGATCTTGTCACCTATTCTAGTATGCCACTCATTACAGATTTGTGCAATCCTACAGGAGTGGGAAGAATGATGGACAGCAGTTTCAGGAAATGGATCAGTTTATACTGTTTGCAAACCATATGCCATCTTAGTGTATTCTGATACACCTACCAAATTATAAAGCTCGTTTCGTAGGCCAACTAAAAATCTCTAGGAGATTGCTTAAATCTTTAGGAACCACTGCACGCTCCTTATTGTACTACCTTTCAGACAGTTTTAATAAGCCAGGAGGTTACTCAACATGTTACCGAAGCGTTACTTCAAGAGAGCAAAAAAGTCAAAGTTTTAAACAAACATAATTGAAAAGAAAGACCAATACCAATGCACAAATCTTGATCATAATAACACAATGACAAAACATACCTTGAGCAAACCGGAATCATAGCAGTTTGGATATTCATGAGCAAATCCTTGGACCAAGACTCTGTCCATCCAGCCCTTCATGATTGCTGGCATGCTGAACCAATACAAGGGAAACTAGGCAAAAAGTAAATTAACTTGTTAATACAGAGAGTCCTTAGGCCTGGTCTACAGGCCAAATCCTGTTCTAATCTGTTCAAATCTTGTTTGTGCCTTGTTCCAGCACTCTGTCAGGAGAGGCAGTAACTATGGTTGGCAAAAATAACTGAAGTGCTTTCTCTTTGTAGTAGTCTTGGGTACATACCTGAGCATCTATAGCACGCTAACACCATGGTGAATGAAAGGGCTTCCACACAAATTAAAAGTTGCAATACAAAGCAAGAGGGTGTCATTTAATTCAGACTTAAGACTGTACAGAATTGCATCTCTTACTGCTGAAATGCAAAAGGAATATATGATCTAATGGAGAATGTGGCCAAAATGCACACAGAGCACCTTATTTACCAGGACCGACATCTGGTGATCAGGTCTGATCTTATTCCAAGATGCATTGCTATCCCTAAACCTTTGTACACATTGCAGTACAGAAGAAGAAATTCTGTAGAAGCTTATCCATGTGTGGCTTAACCCAAGATGGAAACAATGTGGAAACTAGGCAATCTCTACTATATCTAGAAGTGGTGAATTTCATGTGTAGTGAATTTTTAATCATTTTCTGGTGTCTTTTGGAAGCTTTTTTCTTTTCTTTTTTTTCCCCTCATGCATAGAACATACTCAAGTCTTCATAGCATTCTGCAGACAGAAAGTAGGAAGCAACCACTTCCTTCAGAGGATGTTTTACTATACTTATCTCAGAAAAAATAGTGTAAAATAATGAAGACTTACAGTGAAATAATTAACTGGGATATGGTCACATCCTAAATTTCATCTAGAATTGGACAATGGAATATATAGGCTCTGCCTAAGGCCAACAGTCACACAGTTACACAAAGAAATGTGGAGCTACTCTTGCCTTATAGTATTTCTGGGCCTCATGGACACCAAAGACAGACCTGGCACAGTGGGGAGTGGAGATGGGTTGTAACATCAGTTAGCAAGTCCAGATAGTGCTTCTGCGACTCAGCAATAAACAAGGACAGTCTGCCTTGGGAAGTCCAAATTCCCCAAGCCTGCTGACTGGTCCCAGCTGCTCACCCAGAAACTAAGCCTTGCCCTGCTTCCTGCTGGCCTGCCTGACTTCTGTGATCACGCATGTCTTTGTGCATCCAGATATTAAGTTTGGGCCAGTGTTGGTGAATTACTGGATTTGCTGTCATTTTGACCTGGATAACTGTACTACTGATCTGTATTTGTTACTGTACCATTGCTTAGAGACAAAGAACTTATTCCAAAAGCTGTTGGTCTGGTGTCTGTTACCATATCCCACACTTACAACGCAGCGGGGCCATCTTAATCCCTTACACACACATCTCTGTGTGTGGATCTGTGTTTACTTTGCATGAGCTTTAAGACAAAGGGATAGTATCAGGTTTCCTGAAAGCATGGCACGGTTCTCATATTGAGAATTATAGTTGTATTATCTTGCATTCAATACTTTCTGGTCTGAGTTGCTCACTGCAGTCATTTTGGAGTGCAGGTAGTGTGAGGATCAGTCTTCACAAAACCTATGCAGTCAAACTACTTTTGAATGTTAATTTTTAAGTGGGGCACAGCTGTGAATTTTACTTAGGCATTTTAAGGTTCTAATTTCAGATGCCTTCCTACTCCCCAAAAATGCTCACACAGGATCTGGTATTTTTTATATTTTCTAAAGTCCAAGTCATATCAGAAAAACCTGACACTTTGAAATTGTTATGCTGCATACAGGCTGTTTTGTGTTGATGGCAGAGCTCTACCTCTTTTTACTTTGCTAGATTCAATTTTCCTAATGAAATATATAATCTTCTCGCTTACTATCACTTTTCTTTTGTTCAACCCTGTATATTACAACTAAAGTCTTTTAATACAATTTAAAATAATGACCTGAAAAATCAGTAAGTCTGCTTCCTGCACTTTCTTTTGCTCTTCAATCACATCACTGGACAAATCTCCTCTCTTGTAAGCTTCCCATGTCTCCACACCATAATTGAACTCTTCTGAGTTGTGCAAGCAACCTGTGGGTAGAAGTGAACAGTCATTGCCTGCCTTGTTGCTGGCATCTTAGCCAGACGGGAATTAAATACATGTTGCAATTTCCAGTTCTGAATTGTGTTACTGCTTTCCACTTCCTCTTTTTTTTTTCTTTCTTGTGTGTGCAGATATTCAGCATCATCATAGCTGACAATGATTTGATTTTAAGCTGGAGAGGACTGTCATGTCTCAGAACACTAAAACTTTTGCCTGTCAGTATAAAACATATGAAGCACAGTAAGAGAAACTCAGCTTGGCTCTAGAGTCTGGTGATGGAGGTGGATAATTCAAGAGGATTTAAGAGAGTTTTTTCTAATGGGTCTGCCTCTGCTTACTTAGGGTTTACTGAAACCACCATGCAATCACAAGCACTATGTAGCTGCTTTTCAGCCTCTGTAAGTGGGAAACTCAGCAGGGGTGGGGGAATCAGTATTGGCTGGCTCTGCTGAATCCACTACAGTTGGGTGAGTTGATACAAGTGTGTCTGAATCAGACATATACATTCATTCTGCTGATTCAATGAGCAGATCATGAATGTCCAGCAGAAGAGAGAGGCGGCAGCCTCATGAACTGAACTCTATCAAGTCATAGAACAGTATCTGAAGGCATTTCTTACCCATGAGAAATGGACTTCAGAGTTTTGTTGTGGACATGTGCTAATGCATTTTTTCCTCTCAGTAATGTCCTTATGAGCCAAGGTTCATATTCAGGAGTGGACTTTCAGAAATGCTTATGTCTGGTCATCGATAAGCTTCTTTTAATTTTTGCCAGTGCTTACACTAGACCTCTGCTATTTATTTTTGATTTTTGTTTTAAGGAAAGAATTTCAGCTGTTGCTGTTACGGCTTTGTGTTTCCTAACCTGGACAAATACTGGGGCTAAATGCTAGTAAGAGCACAGTGAAAATATCACGTAAATCTAACAAGAGCATCACTGTTTTTCTCAAGACTTAACTGCATCATCTAGTCATTTTTAGTAATCACATACTACTAAGGTAGTCAGGAGGTGCCAAGCACTCAAAGCACTTAAGTGCCTGGATCTAACCCACAGAAAGCATTTGTAGTCTTGTTCATTAAGAGAATGTGGTTCTTAGAACATCTCTGCAGTTGACTGCAAGTACTGTAAAAATAATATTTTCCCTCATTCACTTTAATCTAAAAGCAAAACACAGTTTTACAAATCTGTACTATACAGATATTTCATTTTTCTGATTGAGGGGCCAATTCTAGTGATCAGATTTATTTAAACAGAGATGATACTTGTTGGGTTCCTACACTGACATTTCTTGGTCAACGCTGATAGAAAAGAAAAAGCTGGGTCTTGTAGTTGAGGGATATTTGGACAAAATAATAGCAGTTATTTTTTGGAGTGCATGTAATGGCATGGTTCTGGATTGTTAATGCAGCAGGATAGACAAGGTCAAGGTTTGTCTTGATGTTGTTGTTGAAAAAAGTGTATTTTGGCTAGTCTCACCAACAATGTCATTTCTTGTTGCTCTTGGCTCAAACTGCATTGCATATAAATCAGACACTGTGACACTGCAGCCCTGCTTCCTCAGTTCTTCCACAGCAACCGTCTTCAACGATCCGTTCAAGGACTTGGGCTCTTGATGTGCATAGACTATCAGGACTTTTCTCCCTGGAAGCAGAAAGAAAACCAGAAGATACCTTTGAGTATAGGATGGAGGGCCTGGTCCTTCATTTTTCTGTAGTGTGTTTTCCAAGCAGCACAAAAACAGTGAAAACAGAATGACAGTGGCAGCATTTGACTTCTGCTCAGCAGCAATGAGTGACTCATGAGAACCAACCAGTAAATGCCCCCCACCCAGAAATTCTGTGCTACATTGGGCTTTCCCAGGTGGAACTTGGTGGACAGTGGATGAGTTTCCATAGCAGGTCACACTGCCCTACATTGGCACAACCCAGTCTCTCCTCTTGAGTTGGCATTTGTGTTCATCTGATTCCACTACCCCCCAAAAAACTCACCCAACCACAAAAAAAAAAACCCCTCTCTGCTGGTTTAGTTACCTAAGTTGGATCCAACAAGCTACAGTGCAAGTGTGAAGGGCAGGCTGGGATCAAAGCCGTGCCAGCTTAGATTCCCTCAGACTGTTGTGGAAACAAGTTCTGAGAGCGCAGAGCATTTTACTACTGCAGTGTGGGGTCCCCTCATCTTCCAGGTCAGCGCTACACAAATGACATCAGGGTAAATGCTTAAGATCCCATTATCCCACTTCAGCATTATCACAGCAACTTCAGTAGAAAGCAACCCAATTTTTTCTTACATGTGAGTGTGAGCTGTCTAGTGTATCTCAAACTGTTGACAAAGTGAAAACTGAGCAGCAAAGTGGTAAACTGAGCAGCAAGATGGATTTGTTGGGATGGAGCTTCTTAAACTGATGTAATAAGGTATATCAGAGCTTACATGTTCAAAATATTATTGTACATGGGCCATTCAACTTTAATAATTCTTTAAAGAAAAATCTTTCATGACTGAACACAAGGGAAAGGGGAAATACTTTTATGGAGTAGTAGTTTAAGCATAAACACCGCAGAGAAGGAAATTTCCAAGGGTTATTGAAAAATACTGGATCTGCAAAATATGCTGCTCTTGGTTCCTAACCAACAACACAAAACCTCAGTCATGTCCTGAGTTCAGTTTTTCCAGGGGACACAGAAGCTGCACGGCTCAGAGCACCACCAGGGTGACAGGTGAGTTTAGGGTGTGAGAGATAATAGAACCAGAGCTGGAGGTTTGCAGAAACAATACCTTATTTTTAATGTAATTATAAGAGGTGATTATTTCTACACTGTGCATAGTGTCCAGGAAACAATAGCTTTGCCAAAAGACTATTAAGATTTGTGGTCAGATGCTATCATAAGTGTAACACATATATAAAGTATTTAAACCCCTGCTTCATGACTTATTCTGGAGTATCAAGAGCAGTTCTCTCTTTGCTGTTCCTGCTCACTCCCAGCAAACAGGTAGTTCAGCAGCTGGAGATGACAAAAGCTCACAAATGTGATAAGATTAATTCTGCAAGTTCCTGGTTTGTTTCCATTTTAGTGGAGTTGAGGGCACTCAGACAGTCCTTGGAGGGACTGAAGTTTTCAAAGGCAATGCTTACTGAAGTAATTTCAGTAATTTGAAAAAGTAATACCTTAGTATCTCAACTAAACATTACAGATGTGCCCTACACCAATGTGCCCACGCCTGAAGGGAACTGCATTTTTATTGGTATTAGTTTTTACCTGCCATTTTCCGGGAGCACTCAGTAGCTTCTGTCTTGAGACTCTAGTACAGCCTGTGAACTGATATGAGAAATGTGCTTATGTGAGAATGCCCTGGTTTACTGGGGTAGAATCTTAGAACCAGTGGGAACAAGCTGATAAGACACTTGGTTTTAGTTTTGAGGCACCGCTGGAATGCAGGCTTTTGCCATAGTGATTGAGGACTCTTTTCAGTTTCAGTGTTGCACCTGTCCTGCCAGCTTTTTTTTTATTTTATTTTTTTTTTACAAGCCGTGGGGAGTAAAATCAAGGGCAGATGACCAAGTTGGCCAATAGAAAGTATACCGTGCCATAAATGTCACATTCACTATAAATTGGGGAGTTTGCTGGGGATGACTCTCTCCTTCAATGGATGTCATCCCAAGATGGACTTACCTGCCATCCTACTCCCAAGGCCTGAACCCCCACTATATCAGTTGAGTATAACTCTGTACTTTATAGTAATACTGGGTTTTTTTCTTATTTTGTTAAATCTGTTTCTATTTCAACCCACGGGTCTTCTTTTCCAGGTTCCCCGCCCTGGATGGGGAGGTGTCATCAGGTGACAGAAAAACTGCCACGACAGAGAAACATCAGGAAAAGGCAGAAGGAAAAAGGCTGTTTCAGTAGGAAACCTACCATACTGTGTGGATGTGAGGGGGCCGTGAATGGTGCATATGTGTGTGCATGTATATAACATATATACATACGCAGGCATGCGCTGCGGCTGCTCGACTCGCCGGGGAATGAAGGCGGGCCGGGTCCGCTCGCCTCGTCTCCCGATGATCCGTGGCGGCGGAAGGCCTCGTCGCTGGCGAGAGAGGCGAGCGCCGCACCCCTCCTCACGCCCAGCTTCCTCCAGGTCTGTGCCGAGCGTAGCTTCGCCTCCGCACCGGCGGAGGAGCGCCCGGCGGCTACTGCACACCCCCCTCAGCGCCCGGGGCAGACCCAGAGCACGGCACCACCCTCCCCAGAGAGGCGCCGCTCCGGGTCTTCCCGTTACCCTCTCCGCAATGCCGGTTTCAAAA